GTAGAGATGGGGTCTCGCTCTTGCTCAGGCTGGTCTTGAACTCCTGAGCTCAAATGATCCTCCTGCCTCGGCCTCCCAGAGAGCTAGAATTACAGGCGTGAGCCACCGCGCCCCGCTCGTCTGTAATTTTGTGTCTTACGCTGCACACCTCAGGTTTCCCTGCAAGGTGGTTCACTACGAGGTGCTCGCAGACAAAACCTGAAAGCGTTTAATCCCATTATTAGTTAAAAAAAAGTGCCGCCAAGGTTCTTGCACGAATCCCCATCGCTTCCCCGACTCTCCGAGGTGCCGCTCGGAACGGTTTTCCGGGCCGGCAGGGTCCGCGCAAGGGCCGGCAGAGCGCCCGGCAATCAGCTCTCGGACACGCGCGGTGCCTCCCCAGGAAGCGCCCGGGGCGCGCACGCGGCGCCAGCGAGAATCCGAGGTCGAGAAGGTCGTTCCTCGCTACGGAGAGGCTCGCCATCAAGTTCGGCCTCCACATTTGAGTTTTGAGACTAAACAGTTCATCGAACCCGGTCCCCGCCGCCGCAGACTTAGGCTGTCGGCCGCCGTGAACGCCCGTTCGCCTGCCCGCGCCCCGCGGGGACACCCGGGCTTTGCGCCCCGCGGCCCGAGCGCGCGCACGCGGAGGACGGCTCCGCAGCCGAGAGCCACTGGCGGGAGGCGTGGACCCGGCCACAGCCCGGGGACACCGCGCGGGACCAGCGGGCCGGGACGCCCCCACGCCCGGTGCCGGCCCGGAGTCGCCGCCGCTCGCGCCGTCCAGGCCGGGGCGGGGCTGGGGACGCGCGGAGGAGGCGGGACGCGGCTCGGCGCCGGCTGCGCTCGGACACGTCGGGCGGTCCCGGGGCGGTCCCGGGGCGGGGTCGCTGCCCTTCCCGCCCGCGCAGCTGTGGGGCTGGCGGCGGCGGCGGGGCGCGGAGCGGCGGGAGCAGGTGGAGGGCGAGCGGGGCCTGGTGGGTGCTGGGGTCTCGTCCCCGGGCCCGCGAAAGAGCGCTGGAGGTGGCGGGGCCGGGCGGGGCGATGAAGCCGAGCGGCGAGGCGGCGGCGGCGGCGGCGCCCGGCGCGGGCCCCTGGGACGAGTGCTTCGAGGCGGCCGTGCAGCTGGCGCTGCGCGCGGGACAGGTGAGCGCGCGGCCTGCGGCCGGGCCGGCCCGGAGGGCCCGGGAGGGCAGCCCCGCGGGGCGGGGCGGGTCGGGCTGGCGGTCCGGCCGCGTCACGCCCACTCGGGCTTGCGAAGGTCCCGCGGACGTCCCGGCGGCCCCGCGGAGCCCGTCCCGAGCGCTTCCTCGGCGCGCAGCGGACCGGGTGCCGGGGCGGGGTGCGGCGGCGTTTCGCGTTCGCCGCCCGGACACCCCTGCGCCCCCGTCGCCCCGGGCGGTGGAGCGGGCGCCGCGTTCGTCCCCGGGCGGTGGAGCGGCCGGCCGTGGGTTCCCGGCCTGCGCGTCCGGGAGCCGCTTAGAACGTCAGGCTCCTCCGCGGCCCGCGCGCTGCCGTTTCCAGCGTTCGGCTTCAAGGGCCGGGAACGGACCCAGCGGCCCGTCCGCGGTGGCGGGCGCCCGGTCTGAGCCCCGTCCGGCCGCCTGGCGGTGCGAGGGCCCTGCCTTGGCGCCCCGCACCCGTGCGTGCCGGACCCGCAGCCCGAAGCGGCTCCTCCCGGTGCTCGGCGCGCACTGCGTGTGCGGGAGGAGCGCGGGGCGC